TGAATCCCAAGCGTTCCATTAAAGCATAACTTGGAAGGGATGTGATGGATTCACAGGCCTTCCGCTGGCCAGCAATCTGAGGCCAAAGAAGTAAATCACAACTTACGATAACATCTTTGCTGTATTATATTTTTTATAGTTAAATGGGACTGTTTCTCATCCTCCCCCAATTTTTACAAAGATTTTTGGAATGAATTCATAGAATTGAAGACAGAGGGAAATACCTGGTAGTTTATATTGGGTAGTCCAGCATTTTTTGCCAAGCCAGGTTTTCCACAGTATATTATCGATCGCTATGTCTGCTCTTGTTTTGCAATGTTTCAAACCGGAGGACTTTCATCATTCTTCTGGGGCTAGTATTTCATCTAATAGATTTCACTGTCGGGAAACTTTTACTGATAATCCTGATAGCTCTCTTCTCTGGCTCTGTGATAAGTGACTCCATTATTCTTCAAAATATGTGCGCGATCCGTGGACATTTTCAAGAGATTCCATTCCAAATTGGAAGACAAAAAGAATTTTAAGTAATATAGAGAACAGATAGCTGGACAGAAAGAATGTATCAAGTTGGATATACTTTCTGGTAGAAATATGTTTCTGAAGTATGCAACGTACTTTTCAGTGACACACAATTATGATGGATGTTACTGTTGAGAGACTCAGATTTACTTTTCTAGAGACCTAAGCTTGTCATGCCATTGTTCAGGTACTGAAAGTGGAACTTCTCAAAAGTAAAACTGAAGAACTTTCTGCAGAGTGAATATGTGGATCTTTCCGTCATTTCAGCCTTCTTCCTCTGGTACTTTTTGGGCTTTTGTCAGATGTTGTAAAGGCCAGTGTTGTACATTTGGGTTTTGGCAGGTTGAGAACTGTGACTGTGAATAACAAGTCAGTTGTCAGTTAGCCCGGGGGAAGGCAGAGTGGAGCCTCTTGCTGGCTGGAACATGATCTTTTCTCCTTCTCTTTCCAAAGTAAGGATGGGAAAGGTTGGCATTCAGAACATTGTAAAAGAGACATGACATTTTCTGCAAAACGTAGTTTCTTTAGATTTAGAAAAATCTATGTGAATTTTTTTTATATATAATTTTCTTTTAAATCATAGCTGCTTCAAGGGAGCCAGTTACTGAGATGCTCATGCTGAGAAACTAGAGACATCAATAGTTACTTTGGACATCTGAAGAATGGACCTCACTGGTCCTGAACGATCGTGCTCGAGGCTAGCAATGTAATGTTTGTTTCACCCCATAATTTATGTGACATAGCCTCATTATGCACGATTGCTTATCTCAGACTGTGTCTGCAGCATGCGTTTCAAAACTGCTTTTGGCTGCTTAGATTTTTTTCTCTTTTCCTTGTGAATTTTTCTTCACTTGCAGTCATGAATCTAGTATCACATTATGTTTGTGACTGTTTCATCAAATGTAATGTTTGATATTATATAATCCAGCAACTCTGCAATGGTCTTAACCAAAAAAAGTTTCTAACAGCAATTTATGACTGATCCCTTAGGAAAAGGGACAGTGCTTCTAGCTGTAGTGTGGGATGTGTGAATGGCATATAAATACTGACAATACACTTGATTTCTTATTGGTTCATTTAATCTATTTAGCTTTATAACTGTGACAATAACTCAGCTGCCCAAAAACATATAACCTATTAAAATAAATTTGTGGGCTCATATACATACCGTCTAATTATAACTGTCCAGCTCTGTGTCATAGATCTTTTGATGCTAAAAATGATATTCTTTTATCTGGAGTATTCAGAATCTACGTTTTGGAGCAAGGTGGTCTGATTTATATCCCAGTGGAGTGACCACTGGTGTATCCAAGATTGGCATGGGTTGGTGCAGGAATATCGTGTTTATTCAGAGAATATCAGCTGTATGAATTATGACTCTCATCATTCCAGTTGATGCTTTTTGTCTCCTTGTTGACCTGGCTGAGAACAGGATATGTTTTCCAGAAGCTTCTTCCCAGTTAACATACATAAAGCTCCCTGAAATGTGCACAGTGACATTGGGTCCTCAGTACCTATAATTACACTCTACAGGTCTGCTTATGTTTGACTACATAATTTACTAATGCAGACACAGCCTGAAAGACATCAATATCCTTTTGTGGCTTCTCAGTTTTTAATATAAAGCTTTAAGTTCTTAGTGTAAACCAGGAAGTTCATCCTGTTATTATCACTATAATAATAAAAGATTGAAGCTTTGTAAGCAGCTTGCCTGATTCTTCCTGTTAAGTTGAGAGACAATAAGAATATCTTCAAATAGCGAGTGATTATTTTATCTGTCAAGAGTTTCAAAGAGAGCTTCTGATGTGATACATCATTTCCACAGCTTGAAAAAGAGTGTAGGAAGAAGTGATTGCCCATATGTAGTGCTGTTTCCAAATATTGTTTTAAGAAAGTACTTGTTAAAAAAGCAGGGAAGCCAGATGTCGTATTGAAAGACCTGGGATTTAGGAATTATCTGTGGTCTGAGAGTTAAAATCTGTTTGCTAGGTTGTTCTGATCTGGTGCAATTTGCTTTTTATGAACCTTTACTCTTATGAGTATAGGCTGTAGGTTGTGTCCAGAATGCCAGCCCTTTCTGTGTCATAATAACTGGAGCGCAGAGCTGTCCATGGGGATTCATAACTCTCTGGGAAAGTGGACTGCTGAAAGTACTGACCCCGAGGGCATCATTAAGACTATCCACAAGAACGACTTCAGTGCCCATAACGTATAATTATGCCTTCAAAGTGTACTGCAGTGTTTCTAACTGTTGTGAAGTAGATTTTTCAAATTGAAAGGAAGACACTTGTTAAATTCAGCATTTATTTTTCATTAAGAAAGGTGGTGTGAAGTCCATTTGAATATGTTGTCCTGTAGCTGCTCCATATTTGATAATGGAATGTTTAAAACAGAAAAGTCATGGAGTTTTATTTTGACCATGATTAATATATCTTTTTTACCATGTTGTAAGGAAAAGCTATTCAGCATGAGGCCAGAAATCCACACATCTATCCACATACCTGTCCTGACCTCTAATGAGCTCTTACATCCAGTGTGCACTGTTGAGATTTGGCTTGATGATTGGCTAGCCATATCTTAATTCTGCTGGCTGCTCTGTGCCCTGTGGATCCGGTAGGACACTCAGCAGAGCTAATAGTTGTCCTAACCTTGATCCTGGTGTCAAGGGAATTTTTAAAGATTTGAGAGATGTCCCAAGCTATCACTGAAAGTCCCACTTCTGTTTTTGAATACCTCTGTATTTTCTGTGAGGGACCAGTTAGCTGCTACTGATGGATAAAATAAACCTGAGAGAAGGTATTCCAATCTTTTGTCAATGTACTGTCAAAATATTTTTCCAGTCTGTCTTTCAAGATCAGAGGAATCCCCTGAGGAAACCAATCCTGCTTAAACTTCTGCATTTGATCTTTCATCTCAGGAATGACACCTCTGGCAACTAAATATCACTGACATGCTGCTGTTTGTTAGTTTGACCAAAAAATAAATAATTACTGATACATTTTTTCCCATCCAGTCAGGTTGCAAGTGTACTGGGGCAAGTCAAACAGGTGATGCTCTAAGAGAAGATCATACTACAGCTGTTAAAGACTGAAAGCTGCAGTGCCTAGTGGTCACAGTACATCCAGCTCAAATGAGAGCAGATAAAGATACAAGGGCTAGATACAGTGTAGGAAGAGGAGAGTAATCCCTTGCTCAGTGTCAGATGCAGTGAGGGAAGCCAACCTCTGCAGTTTACTTTCTTATCCGTTCCTTAATAAGAGAGCGCTTAGGCTTGGGCATCTTCCTGGGTAGGGCTCAGCATGTTATGAGGTTAGGAACTGGGACTCCACCCTTTTGGGGTAGGGGGTTCTGCCAATTGTGTCCTGTCTCTTTTCTTCAAACCGGTAACATGTAGGTGATAATAGGTTATAAGATCTGTCAGTGTATCTGTTATCTGGTCCTAGACTGGTTGAGGTTCTAATGGTGCTGCCCGCGGCAGCATGAGGGCTCTGCAGGGGTTGTAGCTGGGTGGATTCAAAGCCAGTATTAATAACAGCTCTGATAAAGGAACTGCCAAAGCACACTTCCCTGCTAGACAACATGGGCATCTGCCCTGATGGTTTTGAGTGTCACACACACAAGGGCACGTGTTTGGACTGACTGTCAGTTTAAATAGAGTGATATCGATATATTGAGGTAGAAAATATAAAAACTACTCCTTTTTTTGACCAGACGGTCACTGTACTATGATCAGAATCACAGTCCTTTCATATGTTTGTTGAGAAGCTACCCTGTCAGTCAGGTGTGGGAAGGAATAGGCGCACTTGAACTACTTAAGAAATCAAGTGATTTTGTGAATACAGATCTTGCATAAGCACAGTTGGATTTTTGAAACGAGACATGTAAGTGTTGGAGCATATACTAGTTTTAGGGAATGAGGGGCATTTGGTTTGGTCTGGTTTTAATTCTAACAATATACATCTAAAATAGTTCTGCTGAGTGCATGCAGTTGCTATGGGTTTTATACTGGTGCCATGAAGAAAAGTATCTGTCTTCGTATGTGCTGGTGTTTGCAGTGCCAAATGTAGGCACGGGCATAGGCATGTGTATGTGCTATTTTGCACAGCGTTCAGATAATTTTTATACAAAGCGTTTAAATAGAAACAAAACTGCAGCCTTTCTTCTTGTCTTGCTTTTAGTTATTTTCAGCCGTTGGATTATTTTATCAAGCTTTCTGTATATTGCATAAACTTTTAGGACAATGAATTCTTCAGTATCAAGGCAAAGGTGATACTCTATGCGCTTTTAAGTTCAAATTGCATATTCAACTTTATGATAAAGACCGCAGGATAGATGTCTATGCATCATGTGGTGTGCATGGAAACTCTGAGGGTGAGTGGAAAAGTGACTATGAGTTAATATTAGATCCAACAAAATTCACATTTTTCTTTTTTCCTGGATGGTGTATTATGTTATCTGATCTGGTGTGTGTCTCCTTGCAGAGGAAGAGGGGAAGACGATTCAAGGATGTAAAGTGGATGCCCTAAGAAAAACATTTACTACATCTGAGTTACCAACCAGAAATAAAGAGGATGATGGCTCGCCTGGAAGAAACAAAGAGTTGTCTGTTCTTCTGCCACCACAGATGCCAAATGGGAATGAGGTAATGAGTTAACATTTGTCCATGTGAACAAGCATCACATTCCAAAAGATAAAAATATGGGGAGATATACTGTCCAAATGCTAGAGGCTGATGGTATTATCCCATCTGAGGCAAATATTCAAAATACTACCCAAGTGCGTAATGCAGAGGTACCTGAAGGGATCACATTTGGCAGTGGCATTTGCTATCCTGAAGAGTTGCCATAATCTGACTGCTAAATAAGGAATCTTGCAAAGACCATTGTAACGTTTTCACTACAGGCTGCAGTTAACAGTCGAGTTGGCATGGCAAGAAGGTAGAAAGTCTTGAGAATATGGACAGTGTGGACAGAGCATGCACAGATTTCTCTGCTTCTTGGGGATATTAGCAAGTACTGAATTCTGTGTTACTGAAGCTAGATCGCTTCAGCTACCTAAAGTAAACAGTAGGCAGGCCAGAGGCATTTTTAATCTTCTGAAACCCATGAGATTAGGGATTTAATTTATAGGGACAGAGAAACAATGGACACTATCTAGAGAGAGTGAGGTAGAAATCTGTAAGTTCTCTTTTTAAGAACGTCTACCCTCCTGCCTGAATAACAAACGATTAAGCTGTGATCTAGCTGGTAATCAAAAATTCCCTTCATTAAACATTTTATTGTAAAAGAAGTAGCGGGCCATATTGTGCAATATACAGAGCAGCACACTTAAATGACTTGAAAAGCTGTGGCTATCAGGTCTGAGTCAAAGAGCAAAAACTGTCGTTTTCCTCTGTACTAGCACATGCTTTTGAGGTCAAATCAAGCACGGTTTTTACAACAATCACATTCTTTCAGTTGATTATATAATAATAGTGACAAGGATCTTTTTGCCATTTTTCTCATGAAGAATGTGTTTGTCTCATTGGGATAGACTGCCTTTGGGTCTCTTACTGTAGTCACTTTGGATGTGACTTTCTGCCCCATAAAGCAATGTGTAGCTTCATTATCCAGTCCATTATTTATTTAATGGAACATCATAATTTTTGTCTTTGTTGCTACAGAACACAAGTTTCGGCCATGACTGCACATTTTTGTCACATCAGCGATTTGAGAAACAAATACAGTAATAGTAGAATGTGTTAGAAAAATTGCTAACTTAGTAGCAGGAGGAGTTTATAATGCAGTAAGTTGGCCACTGTAACCTTTAAACCTGCCCTGAGGAAAGAAAAGGGAAAAACTACTATTGAAAGCAGTGTTTTTGTTCTAAACACTGCTTTTTAGGTGATTACTTATACTGCTGTTCCAGTGGATTCAGTCTGAACCTGTGTAGGATTTCAGAGGATTACCTTATACATTCTGTTTTCAGGCGCATTGCATTTACTCTTCTACATTTTAAATACAGCGTAAAGAGTCCGTATGTGTAAATCAGTAGGAGCTTTGATTGTGATTTTGGTCCTGTTTCATGCATATAAGTATTTTTGCCTGCCTACCTACAGATAGCGATGAGTGAGTGCTGCAGAGCTGGTGGCCCTGATGGAAACAATTTCAGTCTGTTGGAAAGCGTGAAGGTGAGGTTTTCTTTGATTATGAGTAGAACATGACTAATTTTGCATTTACAAAGTATTGACAGTTTGTCAGTGTTTTTCTTCCCCATCCGCAGGAAAGAAGAACGAGAGCATTACCATCCAATGTTTTTTTAAATGTTAATGCACGTGTACTTTTATAGTATATGGGTTGTGTAAGTGTTAATGAGAACAGTGTCAAATCAGGTTGGAAAAAATGATCTATGAGCATCTCTAATTACTGCATAGAAACACAGAAAACTACTTAGTGCATGTACCAAATCCACCACGGCAACACTTTTCACAGGAACCATAGCTTTTCTCCACTGTCTGTAAAGGCATCCAGTTTGAAGGTGCTAATTTTGACTTGAAAAAATTGTTCTTTGTATTCTTCCCCTCTTTTAGCTCAGTAAACTAGAGATGTGTTGGGGGAGGCTGTTAGAAGGTCCAAGATACTTTTTAGGGAGAATGAGAACAGTTGGAATTTCTGTTCTCTAAATTACTTTGCAGTTTGCTCCAATTCATTAAGTTCCAGTCTCTTCTGCAAGGATGGTTTGTTTTCCTAGGCTTTAGCTAAAGTGATCAGATGCGTGGGATAAGTGAGAAAGAACTCCAGTTTTTGAGTCAGACGGAATCCTTTTAAGACTTTCTGTAATTTTGTAGGTAGCAAGACTGCAGGGTTCCAAAGTTTACAATTTGCAGATTATTATCTCAGTTTTATATCAACTGAAAACAGTTTACCAAACTCAAAAAAGAAAAGATACCATTTTACTTTCAGAAATTTCATATACTTAATTGATGAACTTGTGTGTATGTTTCTAGAATGAAGCTCTGTTTTCATAGAGGCATGGCAATGTTGCTTGGAAAGGAACCTCTGGAGGTCATCTAGTCCAACCTCCAGCTTAAATCAGAACTGGTGCCAACATTAGATCAGGTCAACTGTGGCTTTGTTTAGCTAAGCCTTCAAACCCTCACAGAGTGGAGATTCCACAAGCTCTCTGGGAAACCTGTTCCAGTGCTGCACTGCTCACTTAGGGAAGGAGCTGAAGGGAATCTCTGTTCTGTCTCTCTTCACACTTTTCCTTTTAAGAGTCTCTCTTTTGAATATCTCTGTAAGATTGTGCCAGCTTTTTACATTGATCATACAGGTTGGGAAAGTCCTTTCATTCGCACTCTATGCATCTGTGCAGAGTGCTACCTCAAGAAAGGCCTGTTCTTGTGGTATGTTTCAGATAGCTTAGCTCATATTTCAAAGGACATCGCCCTGATAACAACAGTAGTGTGATGATATCTTAGAAGTTTCATAATTGTTAGCTTTTTATTTCCCATTCAGTTCACCATTAGTATCAAAACAGAAGGATCAGGATCTCCTTTGCTTATAGCATATATAGCATATCCTTGTCATATGCAGTGGGCTTGCAAAACTGCAGAGTAACTTACCATGTAACTCCTTTCTATGAAAACATTTTACTCTTGCGTCTTCCCACCAAGTCCCTGAAAAAGTTGCTCTTCAGCCTGAGCTTATTTTCCTTCACTGCAGTTAGTATGCAACAACCTTGGCAAAATTCTTTGGCTATACATAAAAACATTTCCTTTGGGTTATACAGTTCAAAAAAAAATTCATATGCTGTCTTGGAAAAATTCAAGGGGAAGCGGAGAAGATGAAAGAGACAATTTAATGATTTTTGCTTTGCTCTAGTTTGTACTGAAAGGAATGGAATCAATAGATTTTCTATTTTCTGATTTGGGGCTTTTCCTGCAGATGGACAAGTACTTAGATTTGGAAGATATTGACACAGATGAAGAGACATACAGCGGTAGGTTTTTCCCTCCTTCATATTCACAATCATTATCTGCCTTTAGATTCAAATGTATTGATTTTCCTTTTCTTTCTTGACTCTGAGACACTGTTTAGCAGAACCCTTTATCCTCTAAAAAGGATATACTCCCCCAGTTCTTCCATCGCTAGAAAACTGCCAACTACCCCAAAACTAAATCATCCATTTTCTCACTCTAACAGGTAAAAAGATGTTTCAAACAGTCTTGATTATACTATGTCCTGGTGAGAAGTGATTTTTTTTTCCAAATTTTTCAAAATTACAAAACACTTTTTAGTAACATTTCTAATTTTTCCACACATATTGAAATTATTTTCATTATAAAGGGTTTCTCCAAATAGTAACATGGTTGCTGAGAGAAAAGTCTATAAAGTGGAATTATTTAATGAAAGTATTGTCCCTACTCATTAAAATGATTTCATCCTGGGCTTAAAATAGGTTAATTTTGAATGCACAGTGAAGTTCTCCAGGAACTCCAATTGTAAATATTTCAAGTTTTGTTGAACTGTTCCACACATCTGTAATAATTTTAACTCTCCTAACTCTATAAAAGTAAATAGAAAGCCAGTGGTTGCAGTGTATTTGTCTATCATAGGTGCTTGCGTGGTCTTTATCACCACCAGAATTGCAGATCTTTTTGTGATTAAATCTATTGTCCTCATAGATACCTGTGAGTGCACAAGGAAACTGAGCCACACAGATTAAGGGATTTGCCTAAGACCACTGAAAAAAGCTGTGATGTTCCTTCAGTCCTTGGTTATTGCCATTTGATTAGTCTGTCTAATCCATTAAGTGTTTGATTAGTCTTTGCTTTCTGTAGGTACAGAATTCCCATGCAGAGAGCTTATTGGCTTCCAGGTGACGAATATTTAGAGCATGGCTGTTACTCAAAAGACAGCAATAAACCAACCTAAATCATGAGTACAGCATTCTTTCCTCTAATATGGGTATTTCAGAATGGAGGGATTAAGACAGTGGTCCTGTATCAAGTACAGAAATCAAGGATTTCTTCCATGTAGCATTCATGTGCACCATTTTTTTCCCTTTGTAGGACACTGTTCTGTGTTCATGTTTTAATTTCTATTAAAATCTGTTAAAAAGTGGGGCTTACTGGTGGAAACCTAACCTTAAATTTCACTTGCATCATAATGAAATGGGGCTTGGGGTCCTGTCTAGTTCAGTGGAAATATTTGTAGATATCTGTAATTCAAAACAGGCCACAAAGCTGAATGATAGGCCCAACACCAAAATACCGAACAGGTCAGAGAGGAAAGAAGAGCGCTGATAGAGGGTGGTGATATTTACACTGCCATTTTCCGTACCGTGCCCAGCTTCTTTCAGTTGTTTATGTGTATTTGTGCATGTGTGTATCTCTGTGTGTGTAAGAGTCAATGTTAATCAGACACATTTGAAAACATGTAGTAAAACAGATTGCATTTAAACAAGTTGAGAATTACAGAAATGATCATCTGCTTGTACTGTCTGAATACCACTTTATGCAAGCCTATTTGGAAAAATCTTTCAGTTACTGCTTTTATTGGTGATTATAAAAATAATAATCATAACATTATACCATCACTACTGTAGATTATCACTGTGCTAACTACTAACTTTTTATGTGACACTTGATTTGGCTTTCAATATCTGCTCTCCGCAGCTCCTCCCATGAGAGAGCATTCCCTGCACAAACTGCCTCAGTGCAGAAGGAAGCCATATCCACCCCTAAGCAATCTACAGTGCCCATAACAACAACATTAAGCATTTATATTGTATTTTATAACCTTGAAACACTGCACAGCCAGGAGCTAATTATTCCTGTAAGCTCTGAAAGGCAAGTAAACAGCCTCCAAATTTATACCTGGAAAACCCACAGCCTGGGACTTGCCCAGGGCTTCACTGGAGATAGTTACAGAGTCAAGATGAAGAATTTCCCCGACTCCTAAGTCAGTGTGCAGAAAATAGGCCTCATAGTTTGATATTTGTCTTAAATGATAAAGTTCACTTGATAGACTTCATGATTACAGAGGTATAATCCTCACTCCTGCAGAAGGCATTGTAACAAAATGCAAATTAACATAGAAAATGGTATCTCTGTTATTGTTTGTAATAATAAAGTAATATAAAATAATATCCCTAATGACCAGCTTAATGAAGGATTCATTCTGAAGGACTCCAAGTAGTTTATAAATAAGGTGTTACACAAATTTGTAACGCATTCTGCTGCTGGCCTTTTTCATATGCTGCCCCCTATACTCAAAACAAACGGTAGTTTTAGCGCTCATATTGGCAAAAAAGGGCATCCAGTGAAGAATACCATACCTTGCTAGTATAACTGCAACAACATTTTCTCTCTGCTTTTCTCTCTTTTTCTCTTGGCAGCACCTCACTATCTCTACTTCATTTAGCTTTAAGGGCAGACCAGTTAGCCTAGTTAGCAACTGTACATCAGTACAACAAGTATTCACACTTAAGGGGAAGTGGCTCAAAGTTGGCAGTGTAAAAAGCATGACAGAAAATAGGCATTAAAACATCCCATGTAAACCAATGCTTTTGCGGGGAGGTCTTAGGAGAATCACTCTAGTGGATTTTTCTTTTTTTTTTTCTTCTCTTTTTTTTTTTTTTTTGTTCATCCTATGTCCAGTGTCTTTTAAGGTTTCAGCAGCCGCTTCTTATGAACAAAACAGCCCATAGATTTAGCCAGTATGCAAATATACTGTAGCTGTTTTCGGTAGACAGCACCGGGCTGAAAGCTTGAAACCAAGGCAATGCTTTGCATTGTGGGACTTTGGCACAATCAGCCCTGATTGGCAAGGTAAAATTGCTACCCTAAGCCATAGCTTTAACCCATAGTGTGGATACAGCATGTGGATGGTGGGCTGTTTAATCCCTCTTTCTCCTTATATTTAATCTCCAACTGTAAGTAGCTTAAGCCAATAATACATATCATCAGGCTTTCTCCTGGGAGAACACTTAGCACCCATGTTTTGGCAATAGATTTCCTTTTCAGGACTGCTGACAGATCACTTTCTGCAGGATCAAAGAATGGTTGGGTAATAATATGGAATATTTGCATAAAATACAAAATACATAAAATGCATGTCTGGAGACCTTGAGTGTGGTATTTGTTAAATACAGAAGCAAATAACAATAGGACTGATTGAACGTTGTACGGGTGAGGATAAATAGGCAAGGATATCACAGCCTTGTCCTAATCTAGCTTGGAAGCCTAAGATACTGCAAACTTGTTTTTTCAAAGTCCTCTTTATCTGTAACCTCACAGAAGTTGTGGAGAACCTGGCTGACTCAGTTACTTTGAAGCTGAGGCCAGGCAATACTATTTGATTATTTATATAAGCAAATAGCTCTTTAGGCAAATTATATCCATACCTGTTGTTTACATAATTTGTGTTTTCCCACTTGTATTTTGGGCCTATATTTGCATTCAGGAAGATCAGCTTGGGGAACAGGATTCAGAGTTAAATTCTGTGGATTTTTTCAAGTGTGGACCTCCTCCTCCCCCACCTCTGAATCTCCTTCCTTTTTTTCCCCCAGTTTCTGCAACCCGTTTAACAGTGCTTCGAGATGATTGCACATGAGGCTCTTTGGGGCTAACAGCCTGAAGCCTGAGAATCAGAGGAGACAGCAAAACTTAGCTTTTAAGCTTTTTCCTTTAGCACTTCCACCAACACTATTTTTGTCAAATGTAGTGTCTGAAAGTGGTAAAACCTGAGCTGGTCTATCTATAGCTAGGCATAGGCTGGGTACAGTAAAGATAAAGACATAGACAAGACTTTGAACTTCTTCACTCTTGTGAGTTCAAATCAGTTTGTACCAACAGCTTTTTTTTTTTTTTAATAAGTTTAATTAATATGTTAATAGCATAAAATGAGCAAAGAAACCAACTTGGCAGTGTTCAGAGATGTAGTGATCACTTTCTGTAGATCCATCATGGGGGGCAGGGGGAAGGAGACTAAAGATAAGAGAATAGTTCAGTTTCCAAACCTGCCCTGCTACGCTGTGCTGGACTCGAGCAAGATCCTCGGATGTCACTGCCACATCATCCAGGGAGCTGATTCTCTGCAGCATTAGGAAAGAGGCATTCCAAACCCTCCTCTCAGCATTTTGATATCACTGCTTCTTCACTAATCTCTATATATGGTGCCAATGGCACTATCCAAGGCATTCCTGTTGCTAATTAATCACCTCCACAGAGAACATAATTAGCAGCTTAATTAGGTTCATCATCCACTAGTGCTGTAGCATTGGCCTGAACCAGCTGCGAGGTACTGGCTAGAACTTACAATAGCCTACAGTTCCTTTGGGAGCTCCCACTGAGAAGGAGGACTGTCAAAACTCCCTAATTTTTCTCTCTGAAGGAGTTTCTTGATTAAACATTATCAGGGAAAGCAGCGTTTACCGATTAGACTTTCATATGCTGTCACACAGCCAGAATAGAGAGACAAAGCTCATTTCTGGCATGTCTACTGGCAAACAAAGGTTGATTGCCACATTCTTATGGGGTGATTGAAGGAAATTTGAAACATTGTTTGCATTACTAACAAGCCTTAAAAAATTGGAACTGACATTCTGAGCATGACAAGCACTTCTTGCTAAAAGCAAAAATAAATTTCCTTCTGTTGTCCTAATTTTAAGAGTTTTCTTTTTGAGCCATTGCCAGACCGTTACCTAATAGTGCTTCCTCCTCATCTTCTCTCCACAGGGTCTGTTGAGGGTGGGAAGAAGGGAATTAGCTCCTACTGCAGAAATAATGAGTGTTTATATCAGGAGGTAACACAAACTTTTTGATGTCCAGGCCTTCCTTCCTTCAGTGACAGTATATGTTTAGGATGCATGTTTGAAACTATAGTGGAAGATCCCAACTTTGGGCCTTTTGGCGAGCCTTTGGGCGAGCATTCACATCTTCCTTCTGCCCTACACAAATTTTGACTTCAATCGTGAAAGAATGAAAACAGCAGTTGCAGTTGCAGAGCATATGAAGACATTACGTATACCTGTGGACTAGACTGTTTTCCAGAAAGCTTTCTCAAATAACTGAAGCAGAATGAGCTCCGATACTATGCTGAGAACAAGTACTGACAGCGTGTAAATGGCTAGAAACAGATATAAGTAACCAAGAGAATAGGGCTGAAAGCTGGAAACGACTTACACCTGAATCATGAGCCAGATGGTGAAAATTTGGGAATAAGATGAGATCCCAAAGGCATGAACTTCAGCTCTTTAATAAAGAATATTCCACTTAGAAGTCATAAGTGGTTAGCCCTACTGGCTTTGAAATTATATACAAATCCCAGAAGAAAAATTAAATGAAGGATTTGCTCATGGATTTTTCAGGAAGGCCTAGCTAGGAAATCATTTTTTCAAATTCAGATTTACAATAGGATGAAGGTCTGTAACTCAACTACTGTTGAGGGTGTGCAGGTAGAGACACATGGCCACTTCTTACTCTTTTTCACACTGGATCTATGTCCACTCTTGTTGTTTTTGTTTGTTGACATTTAGGCAACACTTTGAAAGTTTATTCTGAGATTTCAAGAGGGAATCAAGCTACTAAAATCTAGTATAAACCTGGAAAGAAACTTCTACATCAGCCAGAAAAAATAGTAGGTAGGTTAACATAATCCTTCAACTAAATGGTGAGACATAAGGTCTCCTTAAATTTCTTCATAAAAATGTTACTGAGACGAGATGGACACGTTTGTGCTATAGCAGAGCTGTGATTGATTCATGTTAAAAGATATTTCTAAACCTAAGGCATGTCCTTCGGCACTTCGGCCAAACAACGCAAACCACTGTTTCCAGTGTGACCATTTTGCTTAAGAGGTATGCAAAGGAAAAGTGATTCAGAAAGCCTATGCATTTGTGAATTGTGGACCAAGTCCTGCCAGCGTGGAAAGGCATACATGTCCGCGTATCCTAGATATAAGAAAGTCCCCTCAAGTATCTCTTTTTGGAAAGCTGAGAGGAACAAACATCCATGAAATATCCTTAAAAAACAGGGACATCTGGCACTGTATAGCCAGGTAGGGGATATTATTACTTCTGTCAGGTATTTTTATTTAATATTTCAGGGGAATACAGAAAAAGCTTTGTAAAGATTATTTATGCCCAATGTACAGATGTTGAAACTGTAGCAAAAGAGAATTGAAATAGACTGCCTAGCTAATCAGTGCAAGATGAGGGTTCAGCCTGGCATTTTATAACTCCTACTGCAGATGTGTCTGCTCAGGACTTTCCTTCCTTGCTAGGAAAGAAATTAACCTAATTCCACATTTTCTCTGAGTTTAAGAGTTTCTAGATCCAGGGTTTTAATTCAGCATCCTCAAGAAAGAGGAGTTAGCCATCTATTTTTGATCAAGTTTGTTTTTTCTTTAGCATAGGACATTTTATGATCTATATTTTAGCTCAGGAGTGCATCTGTTTTAAAGAGAATCACCGGTATTATAAATTAAACAATAATAAGAGTACAGCATCCTTTGACTAACAAGCTTCTGTCTCTGAGCACTGCAGGATTTTAGACATGATTTTGCTAATCTTTACATTGAATGGAAAGATAAAGTTGCATATTTTGTATTCAGCAGGGTCATTAGTTCTTCCAGGAGAGGTGGAACAGACAGTGAGTTGCTGTACGCTTTCTTTTGATGAGCCTATTCAGCGGAAGTTCAGGACCTTGTCAGTTATACAGCCGTCAGACAGCAAAACCCAAGAGGTATGAGGTCAGATTTATTTAAACGCTATTGGTTTTTTTACCTTATTTCCACAGAAGAACAGGAGGATATAGATGGAGTGCGTGGAGCTGCTGTGAGTTAACAGCAAATTTTTAAATTAATTATGAATTCTTAAATACATTAAAAGATAGATGATAGGTTATTGTTTTGTTGCACACTGCTATTATATAAGCCTACATTCTTTTTCTTATTTCTAACTTTAAACTTGTGTGTGGACTTTTTTATATTTAATTGATGTAACTCTCAGAATTCTGAAGTAAACTTTTGCAGTTCCTGGCTTTTCAAAAAATCATAACTTACACAGAATGATGCGGCATTTAATTTCCAGTGATTTCGTGATTTTACAACATCCAGTCCTTGTTGGGCTGAATGTAAGAGTCATCTTCTGCAACAAGCAGTTAGTGAATGATACATCTAATGTGACACTTAAAAGAAAAAAGGTTTTAGAATATATTGTGATCAGAATTGGGATTTCTCCTCTTGGAAATGAGTGGTAGCAAGATGCTGCTGAGGATCAGTGTTGTCTAGGTCTGTTGTGGAGAGGTTTGCATTATGGAGTCTCAGTCTTTTAGTCAGAAACAATCAATAAACACTTTAATTTAAAATTGCCGTTTTCTCTCAGAATTTCAGTCCTATTCAAACCAGAAAAGAGGGTATGGATTGCTCACAAGCTTATTTTAAGTCATTAAGCTTCCTATCCAAACAGCTGGTGTGAGCATTAACTTTCAGGGATGTTGCTACTGAAAAGAAGTCATCACCATTCTTTCCCTCGCCTGATCATTATGTTAGAATCTGCAGTGAGCTTCTCGCTAAAACTGGGCAGTTTTGATAGTTTCGTATCTTTATCGATGTCCCACGGGTCTTAAATCAAATTTATAAATGATGTGTGACCAATGAAGCATTGATGTATATGGTGCCTCCTTTCCTGAGCTCAATTGCATTTGGTTCTTTGCAATAAACTCTTAAGAATTTACTGTAAAGAACAAGCCTGCTTTGGGAAAAAGTAAATGTTTTAAAATGACCTTTCAAGCTATAATACCCACCATGCTGTGAATAAAAATACTCACTCTTTTCCCTAAGCATTGATGTAATTCAAGGTTTTTGCCTTTAGAAATATCCATTGGTACACAAAAAGATCTAGAATGAGGTATTATAGTTTGCTCATCTGGTAACTTCTGTCTAGAACCGAAAAGGAAGGAGAGTTGTAGGAGCCTGCGGTATTCATAAAGGATTGCATATGACTCTAAGCTATGATTCATGAGAAGTAGATAAAGATCCCACTGCATGCAAAATTCATTTCCATTTGAGGAAAAGTTGGGTTAGGCAAGAGAAACTGAGTATTCTTACATTGGTGAAGGGTTTGTTGCATTTTTCAAGAATAAAGATGTATGATTGTCACAACTGTTTGGTCGGTGTCAGGCTGCTCAATATTTAAGATAAAGGTACTCTTTCCCCTAAATTATGCATATATGCGTACCTTCATTTGGACAACGTAACTGGCCTGATTTTTCAGAACGGTCAAGGCCGAACAGATCCATTTTAAAGTCCCTCAATGTTTCAAAGTGTCATTGCTTTGAAAATTAAGACTTGTGTTGCTTACGGCAGGACTGGCTTAGAAAGGGGAAAAGATTTTCCCTAGAGACATCCCCTCTTTGAAATGACACAGTTCTCTATCCACCAAATCAAACCTGTTAGGGAAAGGCAATAGAATGTGGCTGCCTAATCTGTAATTTGGTTTTCCATGCCCTGTGAAAAATGAACAAGCTTAATAGTGCAATGTATATGTAGGAGTCTGTGCTATGGATATATTTGTGAGAAAATTTAGGGGAATGTGTATATTTCTGAATGTATTGCTAGTGGAAGTTTAATATACAAAAATAAGCTCTATTAAGATCCAATGTATATTTGCCTAATTATTAAAGAAAAACTCCTCTCCCTGAAAATGGATCCTCTGTCAAATGCAGTTGGGAAGAGGCTTAGTGAATGACATAGTAAACTGTTTTGGCCAGCAGCTTTGCTTCATCTCTCTTCCCTGGTTTTTGGCATAGATACATTCCTGGATTTTGATATATACACATGACCTCCCACAGACCACTGCATACTGAAATTGCACTCACTGCGTGGTTGAAGTACATTATCACAGAACATTTACCTCCCCTTCCTAGATATTTATGCCCTCATCTATTTCTGCTTAATAATTTATTTCATAAAAGACAGAGTTTTTAAAATTAACTGTATATGTTAATATCTATTTCCTAGCTCCTTTATTTGTTGCTATTTTCCTCCTGCATACGTATGAGTGCAGCTGAATACATATTTTCCATCCACTCACTATTCATATGTGTTCAAAGTGGGGTTCATCTCACCTAAATTTAGCCTTAAATTTAGTCTCATTTGGTCCTGTCATCAAGGGGAAGACATAAGCACCTCCAGAAGGTGATTCATCCTGCTTGCTGTAAGCATTTATCCTAAGAGGTAATCTATCTGCATTCACAGGCTGACTCTCAGGCTGGTTCTTTTTTGGCTAATTGACTACCTTAATCTAGAAGCACACTTCTGTATGGCTGGGATTAGGAAAGATGAGTTCCGCTCTTTCTTTCTCTGTCATTTTTTCTCTTCCATTCTCTGTCATTTATCTTTAGTTTGAGCATTCAAAAAAGTATTTACAGTGCCTGTCATTTTAGCTTCATCTGTGGAATGGCATCAGTGAAACTTAAAATGCAGATTCCATTGACTTCCTTTGGTTTAAGATTTTATGATAGGCTTCAGCTAAGGTTTGTTTCTGATAACTGCTATGCATAAATGCAACAAGAACAAGGAAGAATTTATAACCTGAAGACGAGATTGACGTAGTGAAAGAAAACGGAGGGGTTATGTCTTTTGGTAGGACAATAAAGACAAAGAGGCAGTAAAGACAGTGACTAGCCCAGGGTGATAAACAGAAGTAGAAAATGGGCCAAGATTTATTGACTCCCAGTCTAGAGCCCCAAGCTCAAGTCAAAGTTTCTTTTCTCCCAAGGACCCCAGTGCATATTACACTTACATAAGATAATGGCATACGTGCCTTTTTTCCCCCTTTTTTTGCCCCTTTTTTTGGACCTAGTCAGTTTTCCCTTGAGTAGACAATGAACTCATCAGTGAGTATGTGTGCATCCTTTACATAATTTGAATGAGTGAATCACTGACTGCCCATAATTACACAGAAATACAGGTTTTAGAAGGACAGAATCAGGCTGTTCAGCTAACTGTAACTCCACACATTAATGAAAAGAACCAAGTTGCCAATTATTAATACACTTCTGAAAGTCTCAACTTTAAGGTATTTTATTTACAAGATTACTTTGTAAAACAGCCTCTAGTGAAATACTTCAGTTATTAATATGAACATTACATTCTTTTATTCTTTAATTTGGGCATGCAGAGGCTGTAAATGAAAATGATTTTTTCTTCAGATGTGTCTCTGTTCAAGTAAATCACATGGGCAATCTTAAGCAAATTGGCAGTTTTCTAAAAGAGCAAAATTCTATTCCCAGAGAGCTTCCAAAAAGATTTCAATTAGATGTTAAATGAGACACCTGGAATTCACATATTTCTCTCAGCTCCTTAGGCAAAAATAACACGATAATAACTTGATCAGCTCAGAGGATTCAGTGTTTTATTGCAAAACATCTTCCTTTTGAAGTAGTTCAAATTGCAGTTCACAGCCTAAAAATTTTAGATTGCTTGTCTGTGTGGAAGGTTGAGATGAACGGCTTCTTGGGAGAAGAAAAAAAAGGAATCCTCAGTGCTTTGAGAGCACAATGATAACTATGCAATGATGTGAATAAACTTTTCTGAATGTGCAATCAATGGGTAACTTTTTTTTTAAATAAAAGCTTTTTGAGTGTTTCTCTACATCTACATGAAATATTACTGGAATGTCATGAAGGTCAAGACAAAGGCACAATGAATGAGTGTATACTTTCCGTTACTATGCTGGTACGGGAAGGATAGATTTGATTTTGTAGAATCCCAATGAAGGTTTACTGTAATTTAAATTACTGTAATTTAAATTACCTACAGGTGTGGTAACAAACACTGTTACAACCAAAGTAACTGAAAAATATTTGCATATAGCATCATATTTTTGAAGGATGTTCTCTCCTTCAGCAAAGGAAAGACAGGTAGTAAAGAAACCCTATTGCTGGTACCAGTTGTTACCCAATTGCTGGTACCCTTACTGACGGGGAGTTTTAGTAAACTTTGCCTATGGGAAAGATGACACTGGACGTGACTGTGGTGAGCAGGTGAAGGAACTGACTGTAGCCTTGATGGCAAGAGAGAGCTTGTATGCATGTTTTGCCCCATGTAAGCTTTTGTTGGATGTGCTATTTATGAAAGTTAACTGTGGTTTACCTGTGATAGTCTGTGGACCTAAGCAAGATAATGTTTGCATGCAGAATTAATACCTTTTGCTAGACCAATTCTATCTAGAAATGTTGTCTTGCTTATTTTTAAATGCATATGGTCTACAGGTCTGTACCCAGGACGATTTATATGCTACAGCACCTACTGAAGCGAATGTAAGCCATGTCCCTAACGCGTTCAACAATATAGGCGCTTAATGAAAATTAGGCAAAAACAGACAAATATTGCCTGGTCACTCAGGCAATATTACAATTTACTTGTAGTGACAGTAGATTTTAACAAGGATGCAGGTGCTTGCAGAATATTCACTGCCACATCTAACGGTCAGGTGCTTGGCCACCGGAGAGGAATCGAGCTACCACCTCTCTATCACTTACTAGATGGCATTAACTGTATCCATGCAGCTTCTTCCAAATGTTACCAGAAACTGTGTGGGATACCGTGTTTCTAAATTGAGTAGTGACTGTAAGACACTGAGTGTTCTTACTCTCATTCAACAAAACAAGTAAGTGCATGCTTCACTTCAGATACATAGTCACTGGTTTGAATAAGGATTCATCAGATGTTTGAAAATAAGCATGCGTTTAAATGTTTGCTGATTTGGGACTGTTTTTGAAACACAGAGCCCTGGAGATCTGCTGTCTGTCATGGCTGAAATGTCTTGACATTTTCCACTACCCTCCTCAAAGCACAGGGAGCATTTCTGTACTGTTTGGGCAGTGAGGATGCCTCTCCTCTGTAGTTCTGGAATTCCTTTGCTGGAGCTGCTTACCATAAACCTTTTGTGCTGTGGCCCCCTGCAGTTTCTTATCAGTGTGCAGCTTGTCAAAGTTATTCATTTAAATTATTTTATAAGCAGAGTTTCTTCTAAGATATTTCAATGAGAAGCAATATAGAAATGCTAAACGATACGTCAACTAAGCAAATATTGGCAAATGCAGCAGGACTTTCTGTTCATCATCCAGGAAATCTAAACCAGCCAATCCCACATCCCTGAGATGGTTAAAAGAAATTATTAGAGCCTGAAAATCGATTAGGTGTCATTCTGCTCATTTTATGCATTTCCTTTGCTGAAACTGCGTTTTGGGAAATGTTGTATTAGTATCAGATGCAAATACACTGAAGTTTTATGTAATACTAGCCCAAATTTTAAGGATATGGCATCTGTCTTTGAAATTTTACATAGTCATACACAACTTGTCCATATCCCTGCAGGCCTGCTGCTACAAGTGCTAGCAATGTAATAGATGTGTGCAAAGGAGGTTTTTAGATTCCTTGCCTCGAGCAAAATTAGCTAATGATATTCATTCAGATATAGTACAGTACAAATGGGGCACATTAAATGGCTTAAATTAGGTCAAATTGAATAATTGAATTTATTCTTTTACTTAAAAACAACTTAATCAGCTGAGAGTGCTGGAGTCAGGAAAAACAGTTTAATTAAATATTAATTAAAAGTTTATACTTTGAGCTTCCTTATCATCACTTGCAGCAATATTATTTATATATCTGTCTTTCCTCATTGCAGCTACTAGGGGATGATGTTCAGCCATTCTCACTTGATGAAGAATTTGATTATGACAATGTGGCTCTGACCCCTAAGTTCTGTGAAGCTGAGCTGGAGGCCATTATAGACTTGTCTGAAGAGAAGAAAACGGAGACAGATGTTGTCAAGTCAGCAGGAGCTGAAGACTGAGTCAGATGCACCTTGCATGGCATTCTGTGCAGTGCTGTTGAAATAACGTTTTTAGGGGGTAAATCTAGCTCCCTATTGTACCCCTATTTCATCTTTTTATCTATGTGGTCTGTAAATAACATCCTTGAGATTTTTTTATTTGTTCCACCAAAGTGTCTTGGTGCCCTGAGGTCGCCTGCACACCCACCTTCTTCTCGTTCTAATAGAAGCACAGAATAGAAGGATGGTGCTTGCCCAGAGTTGCTTATGTAGAAGCTCTTCAGCCAGCAAGGAAGTATTTGTTTCCCTTTAATATGTATGCACGCGGACTTGCGCATTCATGTTGGCTAAGGAGGTCTGTGTTTGTCCCTAAATCCAATGGGATTTTTCTATACATCAATGGCCTTATATATTCTTAGGCTCCAGTTCTCAGCTACTTTGCTGTTTTCCAGGTTGTACAAGGCAGTTAGAAGGATGTCTCAAATGACAGCCATGAAGTCCCTTTTTTAGAAAAATCTTTGAGTAGGGTGAAGCCTGTATTGCCTCAGGCTAGGCATGCTGGAATAAATGCTCCTTAAGAACAATGCAAGCTGGTGCAATTCAGAATAGCTGTATGGCTATTCTAACTTATATTTGGTACTGACTCCAGTTCCTGACTAACTCAAAGCTAGTCCTAAAACTGGCTTTACTTATTTCTTCTAGCAATGCAAGAAAGAACTTTATGCAGCTGAGGGATCCGCCTTTAGCCTCTCCCTATCTTTCTGTCTATTCAAAGGTACAGAATTACAACAGAGAATAAATCCGGGAATGGTTTTTGACTCTCTTGGGTTATTTCAGTTCTGCAGAGAAATAAATATTCCTATTTCCAATAAACTTTTTAAAACATGATCAAAATTGACTCTGTGTAACTGCTGACAAAAAATTAACTGCTACTAAAAGTCTTCCAGACAGAGGAAAAAATAGTGATCTCACCTGTTAAAAAAACTGACATTGACATGCTGTCAGATTTTACATTTTTTTACAGGAGATGATTCCAGATAGCAGTTTAGGACTTACACTTAGCATCACTCAATACAGGAAGCTCTGGAGTTCAGTAAACCATGCCTAGTATAGGCGGGAGAGAAGAATGTGCATCTCTAACACAAGATAGTATGTACTCTTGCCGTGAGATTTTTAGAAATGAGCTTTTCTCAGCTTACCAAAGAAACTTTGCTAGTGAGGCTTGGTTTAACATTATGTTACTGAATTGTATTATTGGTCTTTTTCATTCCGGTATAACTTCATTAGGTAAAGTTTATAGACCAACATTTTCTCCTTGGCCTATCTCCATTATCTCTGGCGTAGCAGACTAACATGAGGAATATATAGTAAGACAGCCTGAGAAGGCAGATTACAGACCAAACCACATGTTGTTTAAAGGCTTTGGATGAAATCTGTAAGTCCAGGTGCTCCATTGTCAGCAATTTATAAGAGCGAAAAAAGGTGCTTTGTTTTTCCAAAGGAAATTATTTGGATCAGTCATTTTGTAGACTAAAATCATGTATCACTGAAAACCAAATTTGTTTTGAGGAATGCTATTTACTTTGATTAGGGAGATAGATACAATTTAAGAGTGAGATTAACAACAGAAAAGCAAACAGTCTTAGCTAAAATGTTAAAGGAGACTGTTATAAAACTGGAAGTATGCTGTGTAACAAAGTTGGCCTGTATAGGAGCTTGTTAGTAGCAGGTAACTAGAAAAGTATTTTTAACATCTACACTCATACTGGTCCTGTAGTTAAAACAGATTTTGATGGAATTGGCTGTATAGCAGATTTTGCTGTTGTTTGGGAAACATATATATATATTTAATTTGGACTGTATTGAATTGAATGAAGAATTTTGTTGAACGCAGGATATTTTGAATGAAGATCTTCAGACCCAAATAACTGCAAGTTTCCAGTAAAACATTCAGTTAAAAATTCCTAAGCAGATCTACTTTTTAATTTATCTTATTCTGTAGGACATAGATGCTGTGTATAAAATAGGAGGGATAAGAAGGAAGTTCTGGAAGAGCTCCAGGAGCAACACCAGGAGAAGAAATTGAGAACCACTGTACACAGATACCAAGGTCAGCCTTTAAAAACCTTGCCAGAGGAATAAGGAGGACAGCCTCCTTTAACATATATATGTGTAGCAGAGATACATAATGAACCCTCAGTCTAAGAGGCCACTGCGTACAGAGTTTACAGACAAAGAATTGGCCTAAAAAGAGATGGACTTTTGTGGGTTTGTGGAATGATTCCCTGATGATTTATTTGGTACTCTTTTTTGTGTATTTTATAGAAAGGTATAGGACAAACAAACTATGAATCAGTCCTACTGGAGTCTTATTACCACTAGAGTCAATGACAAAACTTGTCCAAGGGTTCATAATGATCTTCAGGTCAAGTCAACTCTGGAATCTCTTAAGTGTGTTCTCTATTCATTTCATTAACAATTTTTCCTTGTACATTAGGAATACATTGAGCCATTCAGTTCCTTCTCTCATAGGCAGATGATTCTCTTACCAAATGTTCAGAGTACATATTATGCTCCATAAGTGTCGTTCAGTATATTGATCGTATGCTTCTGTTTGATTCTTTACTGCAGAATATCCCAACAAAACTGGAACCCTTTATTCATTCATCTTATGCAGGAAAATGGGGATAATCCACTTATATTTACACCCCCCATGAGTTATATTTTTGCTATTTATTAACAGAGATGAATATCGCAGTGGAGATTAAGCAATGTAGGCGAGATTTTCTGAACATCTCATTTTATTGACCTGCTTCTGTGGTTGTCTTTGGCTTGTTTATGTACCTTTCCTTTGATTATCCTGCACAGAGAAGCCGTATTTTCCTTTTCTCAATTAACAAATCTTCATTTTTAAGAACATAGTTTATGTGCATTTTAAATTGTATACACGTATATGCAGTGGGTTACCTGGAATTGTTTCAGTATTTTTGAAAGAGTCTGAATAGTATTATGTGTTTCTTCTCTTGTAGCTTGTAATCTCTTTAATGTTTTAAATTTCCAGCAGGGGTTGGTCAGGGACATCCTGCTTTTCTATTTAATGCCTTTTCTAAACCTTCCAAAGCCATTTCAAGTAAAACACTCATGGAAGGGGAAACTCTTCAAGCGCCAGTGGGAACTAACTGAGAGATTATTGCGGTAGAGAATGCTATTTGCTTCCTACCACACTGACCACAATTTTGAACTGCAGAATCTCAAATATTGGTGGAGTCACTGGAAATCAGGTCTGTCTGATGCATCTCTCTAATCCCTTTGTTTCCATGACTTCATTAATGTCTACAGCGCAGTGGACATATGAATCCAAACCAGTCAGAGAGCTTGCCAGTGTTAAACTTGTAGCTTAGGTGGGTGTTTGCAGAAGGAAAGTGGCGGTTTCCTCTCACAGTCTGGATGGATCCTGGGCCATGGGGAGTAGCTCCCCATGTTCTGTGGCAAATGAGGTAGTTCTTCCACAGGGGCAGGTATCTAAAGGGTTGCTTCCTTGACTGGCCATGGTGCAAGCATGGGTATTAATGCTCAAGAGTTATTCCTCATGAATGTAGTAGGAAGAGTAATTATTTGCGGAGCTAAGTGATGGTGCAAGAAAAAGGTAACAATTAAGAAAATGAAAAGAGGTGCAGACAGCTCTGACTCAGACATTATAGTTTTAAATATATTTCTGTTAGTGCACACAGGTATGATACAGGTATGATTATATACAGCTGTATACATGCAGTACCACTGAAAGCAAATAATTCTAGTGTGGAGAGCGCTCGCCAGATAATTCAGAGCACTCTGAAGAAGGTGGCATGGAAACAAGCACCTGCTCTTACATAAAAGACCCTTTGATCCTCTGGCCTTGATTTTGTGCTGCTATAAACCGGGCAGAACTCCACTGAGGCCATTTATATTCATACAGAGCAGACAGGACCCTGGTATTTACAGTCGTAGCTGAAAGAATATGGAGCCAAATCAATTCCTGATTCAACTTTATTGAATATAAAGCAATGTATATGACTCATTATCTTTATGGGAAAGCATTTAAATGCAGAGCCAATGCAAATGAAATGTAAAAATCATATCTTAATTGGTCAGTTACTAATTTTACACAGGCCATTTTAGAGGGTTCCTCTAGTGCTGGGTGTTTGGAATGTTGGCTTTTTGCTTTAACAAAAATATCAGCTATCTTTTCAAGGCATGTTCAAATCATGAAACTTGAGCATGTATGTAGATACTATTAATTTCCGCCTTCTTTAAGTTTTTTTTTTCCTCTGCATCTTGGCAAGGATCAGAAATGGACTTGACTTTATCTTGGAATTGTTTTAAAAAGACCTCATATTCTCTGTAAAAACATATTCTTCATTACAAAGGAGGATTTTCTCAGTTAGTGATGGAACTGAGCTTAGATTTAGATTTTCGTGTTGCAGAAACCAAAATAGGACCAAATTCTTAGTTATTCAGCAGCCTCATGGTTTGGCTAAACAGCCACTTGATATCAAATGGTCTACTTGGATAGCAGGCTGATACATATCCTATTGGTTTTTTATAGCTTTGTTTTTACTCAGGAATCTAAGCGATAGCTTTGCTCCACTTAGGTGCGAATTCTTACAGCATTGTAAAGAGATTATAAGACAAGTCAATTAAACTGACCAAAGAAGCTGAACCTGCGGTTTTGTACTGGGGCTCCATGCACTCTCCAACCTGCTGAATAATTTAGCTGACTATGGCTATTCACCTCTGCTCTGCAGTGCTCCGTATGTAAAGATTTGTGTTACAACTGCTGTGAACATTATACTTCTGAAGGTGCCAAATGGAAAAGGGAGGACTGGCAAGGGTGGGACATAGATTCATTGGACCTGTTCCCCTCTTTGGGCTGCATGCTGAACAGAAAGTTCACCACCTAGTTCACAGTCTACGGTTCAGCTTAGGACCAATCACGTTGCATAGTGAGGTGAGGAAGGCCTTGATGAGGGTTCAGGCTGGCCTCACGAGATGAGTTCCCCGCACCACAGAGATGAGCTCTTGTGATAGCTAAGGGCATTCCCACCACGGTGGCCTTTCTTGTGGCGCAGCGTCAGTTAGCACAGGTGGGTGTGAGGTGCCGCATGTGTCCTGGGGCTCCTCGTGGAGGCCACGGACCCCTTCGCTGAAAAGCAGGTTGGCTAGGCCAATCCCTGGCACATTAAATTCTCCCAGGTGCTAAATGTCTGCCTATCCCTTGTGAAAACAAGAACAACTGTTTTCTCTGAAATGGTATTGATTTGAGTTCTAGAACTTGCCAAAGTATGATGAGTTTGGTAAATTTCTGATGATCGGGCCGTTGGAGGTGACATCTTGGTCTGTGTTGGCAAGGTACCATAAGGCAAAGTCGCAGGTGTATGAGCTGTGAAATGCCACAGAGTTAAACCGGAGGTAGCTTTAGTGCTGGTTTATGAGAAGTTTGCAAGAAGTGTTAGAAGATACTGTCATTTTTATAGACAGGCTAGTTTATTTGCAATTGCAGTGCCCCACAGTTAAAATGGAAATCAATTTTAATGCCTTATGAAAATGCAGAAATATTTGTCTCATTTACAGCACTTCCAAAAAGGACAGATAATAAAATCCCCCTGATTAACGATCTATAATTTTATGTACTCTGTGGTGTCTTTTTCAGTACATCTATCTGCATAAACATGTTTTAAAATAATAAGCAAAGATGGATCTGAAAAAAATCCCTAAATCTAACTTCACACTGAATCGCAGGCTGTAACAACTCTATGTATTCAAAGCCCTCTTTGATATATTTGGGAATATTCAGATATTCCCAGACTTTAGGGAAGTAGAAATTACTCTAAAAATATCGAACCAAACATTTCTCAAGCAACCATTTAGTA